GAATTATAATTAGCTAAAATTTCAATGACATTAATTATATGTACATATTTATGAATAACAACAGAGGCTTATTTCTCCTATGCCCTATGGAATATACTATTCCTGAGGGTAAGCTCACATCTACTATCATAAATTAGGTTGTAAACACAGGCATCATAATTTCTTCCCTGCAGAGTTTACCATGATAGGGGAGGTCCTAGGGGAGGCCTAATCCTGGATTTCTAATCACGTCCAAAAAATTATAAGGCTTAGGCAAATGCCATGTGCTCTATGACGTGGTGCCTCTGGTGTCAAGGCTGTGGTTTTCCTTTTCATCCTTTTGGCAGATTTATAAATAGAAGTTTGATCTACACCTCAGTATGCCTCGTGGAACATTCAGGTTGTAAGATCTATGTTCAATGCTCTTGCCAATCAAGGGTGAAGAAAACTCTGTGATTCCATCTGGTCAACTTTGATACCCGAAAAGCCAGTGCTTCCTCCAGGACAGTGGAGGTGAAACATACACAAAGGTCATCACTGAGTGGAAGGTAGGTGAGTTAATCAAGTTTCTATTTTTCTCTCTCCTGTATGTTGCCAAAAAATGAGGAAGGGTGTTACACTGAGTAATAAGAAACTCAGTGGTATGGAGCTCTGAGTCTACTGTCTTAATTTCTCTCATTTTATATTCTCTGTGTTGGCCGCATCCTCAGTCTGGTAGCAAGACAGCCATCAGAGCATAGCAACACTGGAGAAGGAGAGGAGATTTGCCTCTTTCTTAAAAAAAAAAATAATGTGTGCTATACATATAGAAGAGATTAAGTACCTCAAGAATATAATTTGGTAAATGTTTACAACTTAGTAACTAATAAAACTAGCCCCCAAGTTAATTATGTTCCTCTCATGACCTCCTGTAAAGACTCGTGAAAACACATTCACCTTCCTTTCTTCATCTTCTGTCTAGGTAGCATGGAGTAGAGGAGAATGTGTAGAAATACTGGGTGGTATGGTTAATTATAAATCTTAGGTTACCAAGAGTCTCTTCAATACTTGTTATCATTTGTGACTTTATGGATTTTTATAATAAGGTATCTAGAAACCCTATAGATTGTCAGAGACTCCTGGCTAGGAAGGAGAATATCGCTCTAGTCTCTGACGTAAAGGAATCCTCTTTTACTTGATAATCATCACAGGTGAACTGAGGTGTCTAGTAGAATAACAGAAACATGAGTATGAACTAGGAAATGAACATGAAAGAAGAGAGATGAGAGACACATCCTCACAACCCAAACTCACTGGCAGGTAGGCTTGTCCTTCAACTACTCCAACTCTCTATCTTCTAGAAAGGACTGGAGTAATTGTCATATTCAGTTCATGCAGACAAAACACAGAGTGGTTAAATTTTGAGATGTGGATGTGGCAGTACATTCATACTCCATGAAACAAAGGAGAACTCACCTGAACTCTACCAGTCTGAGTCCCCTCCTAATAAATGAGAATTTGTAACGAGAGAGCTGGGTTTTCTATTAATGGAATTTTCTTCTGTCCTCCCAGATTTTTGAAGATGAAAATGTCCTCTGGAAATGATTCCTTAGTGACTGAATTCATTCTTGCTGGATTAACAGATCGTCCAAAGCTCCAACAACCCCTCTTTTACCTGTTTCTAATGATCTACATTGTCACAATGGTGGGCAACCTTGGCTTGATCACTCTTATTGGTCTAAATTCTCACCTCCACACCCCCATGTACTATTTCCTCTTCAACCTCTCTTTCATTGATATCTGTTACTCTTCTGTTTTCACTCCCAAAATGCTGATGAACTTTGTATCAAAGAAGAATATCATCTCCTATGTTGGGTGCATGACTCAGCTATTTTTCTTTCTCTTTTTTGTCATCTCTGAATGCTACATATTGACCTCAATGGCCTATGATCGCTATGTGGCCATCTGTAGTCCATTGCTGTATAAGGTCACTATGTCCCATCAGGTGTGTTCTGTGCTAACATTTGCAGCTTATACAATGGGATTTGCTGGAGCCACTGCCCACACAGGGTGCATGCTGAGACTAACCTTCTGCAGTGCTAATGTCATCAACCATTACTTGTGTGACATACTCCCCCTCCTCCAACTTTCTTGCACCAGCACCTATGTCAATGAGGTAGTAGTTCTCATTGTTGTGGGTATTAATATCACAGTACCCAGTTTTACCATCCTAATTTCTTACATTTTTATCCTCACTAGTATTTTTCATATCAAATCCACTCAAGGAAGATCAAAAGCCTTCAGCACTTGTAGCTCTCACATCATTGCTCTTTCTCTCTTTTTTGGGTCAGCAGCATTCATGTATCTTAAATATTCTTCTCCTGGATCTATGGACCAGGGAAAAGTTTCTTCTGTTTTCTATACTAATGTGGGGCCAATGCTCAACCCCCTCATCTATAGTTTGAGGAATAAGGATGTCAAAGTTGCACTGAGGAAAGTCCTGATTAAAATTCAGAGGAGACACATATTCTAATTAGATGCAGCAGACATATAAAGAAATAGAAGGACCTTAAATTTTTATTGGTGTTTTTCATGAGGATACTTGGTTCATAACTTTGTTGCTTCTACAGATTGTGTTGTGTGTGGTTTAGTAGACTTGTCTTATTCCCCTTATAGCTGATCTTGTCTAATTATTTGTTTTCATATCTCTTGCACTTCTCACAACTTTACTAAATAAGAAAGAGCATGTTTATAAAAAGAACATATGCACTAATATCTTTTACTATTGTTTCATACCCTTCTGTCTCCTAGGGTATTTTTAATCTGGACAAATTTTGATGAATTTTGTAAATTGCAGAAAAGTAAAAATTACAGCTTTCTCATCTAAACACCGAAGTGCCAAATATGATAGAAGCATTCTCATTTTATCAATATTATTACTTGCACAGGTAGCAGGATTCAATGAAATGTCTTCATTACAAATTGTGTATAGCCTAAAGTAGAATCAGATCCTCTTGATCTTGTGCTTTTATTCTATTTTTTCACCATTTTTTCCTTTTATTATTGTAATTTTTCTTGTTCTCTTTGAGAATGGCACAATCTGTACCACATGCCACCTGCTTCTGAGATCCTGTATCAGCCCAGTCCATTTAATATTGCAGAGAATATGTATAACTCCACCCTTTATTGCCACAGACAGCATTAATAGAGGATGATGAAAGAAATAATACATGTGTGTCTCAGGATTCTAATAAGGGGAGAAAATAGTTTATATTACAAAACTTTAACTTATTACTATCGAAAATGGCATCAAAATTCTGGAAAAACACCATATATTAATAGTTCCTGCTGTGAATGTTATTTTTTACTCTTTGTAGGAAAATACTGTACATTGAGTTAGTAGAAATATTTTAGCCAATGTTTTACTTATTCAATGGGGTTTGCAATGAAAAAATGTTTATTAATAATAGTGAATTATATTCCTACAAATATTTTGTGTGTTACTTAAACTTTGTCTCATCACTAAGACATGAAACATGTTTAACATAGGGGTTGTTTCTTATAATTCATCTATGTTTGTATATTTAGAATGTCAGATATTTGCAAGACCAAGAAATACTTGTTTAATTGGAGTATCTTGTTAGATAACACTAATAATACATTTATTATTATAATAATAGTTAATAACACATAATAAATAACAATAATTATAAATCAGAAGAACATTGGAGCTTAAGTTCTATTTTTAGAGGTGGACTATGGCAGCCTTAGGTAAGGACTGTGCAGTTCCCCATCAAGGGAACTAGTGGTGGGGAGTGCAGTTGACTGAAAGTCTATAGCTGATACTTCTTTTTGATCCACCATGATGTTCAGGCAGAGTCCATACTTACTCTGAGATGCTCTCAGCCAATGACTTAGCAGGGTGGGTGGGACTTAGTTAGAGCTGGCCAATTTCTAACATGAGTCTCTTCCGACAGGCAATCTTTGCTTAGAGACTTCCACCCTGACCAAGACTTGTTAGAACTGCACTGTGGTCTGAAATTTTCCTACTCAATCCTCTCATTTCTTTCTCCTTTCTTATTGTCAGACTTTTATCCTGGTCTGAAGCCTTCATCCCTGACTCTCACTCCTCTCATTTTATCTGTCACGGGTGTTTACCAAAATGAATGTGTTGCAACTCTAATCTATTTCCTGGTATTTCCTTCTTAGGGGACCCTAAATGACAAAGAGGACTTACATTAACTGATTTTAAAAATAAGTATAATGGTGTGATAATGAAGAGACATTGATTTTGTTATAAATATAGGTGAATAAGTCCCTGGGACAAGATAGAATATTGAGGAACATATCCTCCTTTGACAGTCAATTGATTGTGGATAAAGCAACAGAGTAAGTCCACAGGGAAAGAAAAACTTTTAAGCACTTGGTGCTAGAAATGCTGCCTACCCATAAGGAAACAATGAACCTTGGTATCTACCTCACACCATATACAAAATTAATCTAAAATGGATCCAAACTATATTTAAAAAGCTTAAACTATAAATCTTCTATAAGAAAACGTGATAAAGCGTGTTAGTGTAGGCATAGATTGCTTAGAAATATTCTAGAAAACACTAAACACAAAAGAAAAACAAACTTCATTAAAATGAGAACATCCATTTATCAAAAAATATTCATAGGCAAACCACAGGCTGGAAGAATATTTGTATTACATACAAATATTGTGTTCAGAATATATATGACAACTCATTTATTAAAAGATACATCGATAATAAAAAAAAACCCATTTCATAAATGGGAAAATTTTTTTAAAGAGATACCCTAAAGGAATGCATGCAAATGGCTAACAAGCACATGTAAAAGTGCTTAATTTGCTGCACCCCTTTAGCTGTATAGTCAGCAGCTGGGTAGGACTCGCTTACCTGCTATCCTATCCTCCCTCACTGCACTGCTTGGACTTTGCCCCTTGAGTGATTCAAGCACTCATCAGGCCTTTTTACTGATCTCCCTCCTTGTTGATCCTGGCACCCTCTGGGCAGAGCCTGTGCTTCAGAAGTTCAAGCACCAGCTGTGAGGCACCTCCAAACCTCTCTATCCAAGCCAATCCTATAGAACGTCTCCTCTGAGATTCTAGAATCTGGTTATGCTCCCTATTGCTATTTGTTCACTAGTCCTGGGAGTGGTAGCTATCTTCTGCAGTTCATTAGTCTTTCTATTTTCTCAGTGTCATCCTTTTGCTCTTTCCCCCTGGCAATATCTACATAACTAATTCTCTGTTTTAAATATTCTCCTGAGGAAATACATAGCATATTATTTGTTTTTTTGGCTGGACCCATTTTGGTACAGGGAACACATTTTATGTGATTTTGAAAGACTGTCTTGCCCACATCACATCATACAATCTTGTCCAATTAGCACATGCAAAACCCTGATGACAGGGAATAGTTATTTAACCATGTAATCTTTTTTGCCAAAATTATTTTTTAATAAGCCCTTGTCCCCGCCCTGGGTTACAGTTAAATTTAGCAATCCTGGTGGTTCCTTTTTCACTACATAGGAGAGCCTGTTTGAGACTAAACTCCAGTAGAACCAAACAGAAAAAAAGTGGAATGAGAGACAAACCCTCATGATATGATTGATTCTACCTTGTCTAGCCATACAAGAAGCCATTTGCATTCTTGACTGATCAGTTTTACGTACCTTTTTGATGTAGCCTGGTTTATCTAGATAAGTTTGACTTGGATTCCTGTCACTCAAATTGAAAGAGTCCTGAATGTACCGTGTACAACATTGTAATATTCCACATTGTGTGACGCAGTTCATCATAGTGTAGTAGTTAAAGAAAGCAACTTTGCCTTTATAGATACCAAGTATGAAACTTGTTCTCCCAGTAGATGTTTTGATCTGGGAACAATCAATTTAATCCTAGGTTTGAGTTTCTTATACATAACACAGGGATGCCTGGTACAGAGGGTTATTGTAAGGGTGAGATGAGGAAAGGTATACAAAGAATTTATCACTGTGGTTGGCCAATAATAACTAATGGTGGTAAAATTCTCAGTTTCTTTGTTTATCTCTCTAATTAGATTGAGGAATCCTAGGGGTTAAGGTCTATATCTCATTCTGTTTGTGTTCACAGTCAATTGCAACCTAAATATTAAAAAAATTCATTGGATGAAATAAATCAGTAAAAATTATAGGATAGAGGCTATTTATAGGGTTTTAGGTCTCATGCACCATCTACCCAGAATATTATAGATCTGATCAAGGCCTAGAATCTTTAACTGCTATTTTTGGTAGAGACGGGGTCTCGCTCTTGCTCAGGCTGATCTCGAACTCCTGAGCTCAAACAATCCACCCGCCTCGGCCTCCCAGAGTGCTAGGATTACAGGCGTGAGCCACCATGCCCGGCTAATTTTTTCTATTTATAGTTGTTCATGTAATTTTCTTTAACTGCTATTTTTGGTAGAGACGGGGTCTCGCTCTTGCTCAGGCTGATCTCGAACTCCTGAGCTCAAACAATCCACCCGCCTCGGCCTCCCAGAGTGCTAGGATTACAGGCATGAGCCACCGCACCCGGCCTGAGCATTACTTTTAAGGTTTCTCACATGGGGTCTAATCAGCCTTTCATGTAGGGATAATTTTTCTCCACTACTGAGTCAAAGTGTTCATAAATACTCTACCCAATGCCCTCTATAACAAAGGTTTTCCACACTAGATTGTGGCAATATCAAACTATCCTCAGCTCTAGTGAACTCTAGGGAGTGCTGTATTTTGATGCATTTCTTTAGAGGATTGGGTTTTGTTTTGGCAGGCAGTTATATGACTTCCGAACCAGCTTGATGAATCAAAGCCTTGTTTTTAGACTTCTTAATTGTGTGCCTAGGGTATCTTAGTTTTGATCTAATTTAGCACTCTTCCTAGAGTGTGACCCTTTTTGCCTCTACTGAATGTTCCATATCATCTCTACTTAGGCAGGCCAGAACTCAAATTATACCCAGTTTTAAATGAGTTCTTGAAAAAGTTTTGCTTATAGCTTCCTTGATGTTATAATTATTTTCTTTGCCGAGCCTTGTGGTATTTTACCCTGTGCTTTCACAAACTAGTATTTAGACATTTATTCAAGGGGACATCATGCAGATGTCTGGAGTATGTTCTCTGGTGAGCCCCCTCCTCTCTAATGCTCTATCTGATAAATTCTAACCACCTTGACATCTCCGAATTCTGACCTCTGGCTTACCAATTTAGCAAGACTTCTATGCCGCATTTGGAATCCCTTTTCCTGTGCCAAAGTCCAGAAATTGTCTCAAAGCAGAAAGCCAGTGTGACCATAGGGATCATCTAATTTGTTTTACTTCTTTCAGGCATCATAGTCCTGTGCTGGCTTTTAGCATCAAAACAATTGTGTGTCTGTGTATAGATAGATAGATAGATAGATACAGATATAAAACAATTAATTTTGTTTCGCTGCTATTTTTCTTTTTTTATTTCAAAATATTAAGAGGGTACAAATACTCTTTTGTAACATGGAAA